TCCTCACATACTAATTTATCAGTTGCACCATGTTGGGTACGAGGAGTGGAAGTAGGTTAAAACTGGGATAACGCTATGCCTGATTCATGGGAATACTCGCTATCTACAATTGCAGTTTAGGTTGTGCCAAACGTGGACGATTATCTCTTTTATCTGAATGTGCTTTGGAATGACGTCTACTTGATTGACATGCTTGAGGATGAGCCAGAAGCTTCAACGAATGATGTCAAAGCTCTACCAAACTCGACAGACTGACCTGGGGCTTAACGCCGAATCGGTCCCAACCTGTTCAACAGGAGAAGGTTCAGTCTAGCATAAAGCTGGACTGGCCCTCCCTCTTTTCATTGGGCGGGAATTATCCCCCTTCCTGTTTTCGTTTCCTGCTTGCTCTTCTATTTATATGTGTTTTTATGTCTTAGGGTTTTGTTTTATTATTTTTTTATTTCAATTTATGAGGACAGTCGCCAACGTTCTATTTCCTCCCTCGAGCGCTGTATCTGATAGTTATGGTGGTACTTCGGTTGTATCCCTCCCCGATGGTGATTTATCTTCTCAAACATCCACCTCCCTCTTCTCTCATTGCCGCTTGTTGGTTTTCTTTGCACCCCCATGCTCCTAGCCGCCAACAGCCTTTTCCGCATCTTGCCTTTGCCACCAGCATCTTTTTCCACAGCATTCCGCATCCAGACGCCAGTTCTGGACCTTGCCCTTGCCGCCATCATCTTTTCCCACAGCTGCTCACATCTAGCCGCCAATTCCAGGCATTCTCTTTGTCGCCAGTTTTTTACTTGTCTCCAACCACAAGCAACGCTTCTTATCTGCCCCTCCCTGCTATACCCGTAACGCCCCTCCTTGCAACAACCCCAAATGCCCTTCCTCCTTTCTGCTATAACCCAAATGCCCATCCTTCCCGCTACAACCCAAAACCCTCCATCTGCTTCATTCTTTCGTCATGCTGTTGTTGCCCTAACCTCGATTGCCTTCTCCACTGCTCCTAATGCCTCGCCTCTTTTCACCGGTGATGGCTTCAGGTAGAACTTATGTTGCCGCCCTTGCTATTGTTCACGTCTCAGGTACTCCTAAATCGTGTTTGTTCCCGCATTCTTTTGCGCTGCTGGAGGACGACGAGTTCTGTTACCTCAAGAAAGCTTGTAGAAAGAATGAGAAGTCAACCATCTTTACTGAAGCTGAATGTTATTAGTTTGCTTCCTCATGTCGTCCGAATTTAGTCGGGAAATTTCTTTATGGTCATCCCAAAATGGAGTTGATTCGTAAAGAATTTGATCTTATGCTTCTTGTTAGGAAGTGGAAAATTCGACTTTTAGATAGGCGGCATATCCTTATTCAACTTAAAAATGAAGAAGATTACACACACTTATTTGCTAGAAAACTAGTTTTGATTGATAATAAGGCAATGGAAATTTTGAAATGGACTGGATTTTGACCCACAGATAAAACTACCAACCATACCGGTCTGGATTCGCCTCAAGAAGTATTGTACTCTATTGCTTCAGTTTATGGTAAGTCACTTAAAATAGGCATTCCTACTTTTAATATTTCACGTTCTTCAGAAACTAGGGTGCTTGTTGAAAGGGACATCGCATTAATCGCTCTTGAGGAAATTTGATTAGGCTCACAACACCAAGGATATTGACAAAGAATTGTTATTGAGTTTTTCCCTATGTTTTGCTCTCACTGTTGTATGTTGGGTAACTCTAATTCGCAATGTCACCACCTACACCCCCATCTAAAACCAAAAAAATGAAGCGCTCAGCCAGATTTAAAGATCCCCTCCTAATCCTCTTGTTCATCACAAGGATACCTCTGACCCCACTCACACTGTGGTAACCGTACCATTTGGTCCACGGGCCGCTGTTGTTGTAGGTTTCACTACCCCCGTGGGCAATCTTTCAACTACTCAATCACCACATAATGCTCAAGATGTAGGCCCTTTGATTCCTCCTGTAGAACCTCTGTCGGTGGTGGCAGAGGAGACTTGTCATACTTTACCTACTCTAGAACCTATCATTGATGTAACGGTTGACAATCTCGTGGTGGAGTGTCCAGCGGTAGGTATGCGCCAACTACAAGTTCAACATTCTACCTTACGTGAGCTCTCTGCTGCGGCCCTGCCACCTCATCAGATCAAGCAAGTTGTTACTATCATTCAGGCTTAAGGGTCGCTTGATGTGCAACAACATACACATGCCTGACAATCCTTGGACCATGACATTAATCAAATGAGCCGGTCTTCAGATGAGGAATAGAAGGTTTACATATCCAGGAAGAAGAAGAATAGAGGTCTACTGGAAGTCAGGACATTAACGGATGATACCTTCGTTATCTCGGGTAATGGCGGTAGACTTAACCATTTGTTAGCTGACTCTTTACCTAGAACCAGAGGTAAGAGGTAAGGATACATTGGGTCATTTCTCACGCTCTTTTATGTTTGACTCGCCGAGCATTTGGAGACTTTTGGAGTAAAGTTTACTTCTCTAGGTTTTAATTTGCTTTTGGGTTTGCATGTACTTTTTTGGGACCTTGGTGTCTGTTATATACCGGGTGCTTTGGGTTCCCGTGTGGGCCCTCACATCTCACTTCTTTGTACCTTTCCTTTCTAATATATTTGCCCTTGAGCTTTATATATATTATATATATAAATATAAAGAAATGACACTTTTGGTTTTTTGGGCTCATGTATTTTTTTGTATTTTCTTTTTTTGGAACCATTTGTATGTGGTGTTTACCATATGGGTGGGGTGTCATGCTTGGCCCCTCTAATACAATTTATCTGTATCTTTCTTTTTTTTAATATATTAGCCCTTAGGCTTTCTCAAAAAAAAATAAAAATAAAGGAATGGCTATAGGCTATTATTCGAGCCTACAACCACCGCTAATGTGTTGAGTACTACCTTCTTAAGGCAACTGCGTCAGAGGGGATTCGAACCCTCGTCCTGAGGGGTCTCATGCCGTGGATGCCAACCAACAGGTCGAGGTACGCAGCTCCATATCTATATATGATGGCAATTTCCATCATCTGCTCTGCTAGGGTTTCGTCTGATGGTGATTTCCAATGTCTGCTTCTTTGATTCAGTCGCGCTTGAAGGAAAAGGGGCTCGCACCTCATCTCCTCTGCTTCGACCTTCGCTTACTGCACTCGTCGTCTCTTAGCTTCTGTCGTTTCGCGTCTTCAGCTTCGTCTGCTTCAACATCGAGCTTTCGTCGTCTCGAGTCTTCGCGTCTTCTTCTTCGTCTGTTGTGACATTCTCCTACTGCGTTCGCGTCTCTCAGCTTCCGTCTTCGCGTCTTCTGCTTCATCTGCTTTCGCCTATTGCGTTCTCGTCTCTCAGCTACTATCAGAGCATCGTACCGGGTTCTGGTTTCGGCCTTCCTCTTTCCTTGCTTCGATGGGCGCACTCCCTCCTTCTTCGGCTGAACCCAGAGAAGCCTCCTTCGCCCACATGTTGGGTAACCATTTGGTGGAGTCGGTTGTTGTCTACCCGTCGAGTTATAAGGAATGTTGTGATGGTACAAGTGACTGTCCCTTTGTTAAGAAGACGAGTGTGAAGGGTGGGAAAGCAGCTCTCTTTTAAATTTTGGCTGAGAAATGCAAGTTCACTCTTATCGAAAAATTTTAGTTGAGGCATCCCTCAATTGAAGTTATCAGAAAGAGTTTTGAAGCTCAAACTAGTAGGAAAGTGAAAAGTGAGACTTCTTGATGGGAGGCATGTGTTGATTCAGTTAACCACGGTTGAAGACTGCGCTCGAATTTTCTTTAGGAAATATCTTAATATTACAAGAAAATCAGTAAAGTTGCTCAAGTGGTCTCCTGATTTTGACCCAAACCATGAACCTCACACTGTACCAGTATGATTTAGTTTATCTGGTTTCAAGCTACATCTATTTAATCATTAGTTTCTCTTCTCTATTGTGGTCATACTTGGGAATCCTTTGAAGCTAGATCTACCTACTTTCAATCTAATTAAGCCTTCTGTTGCTAGAATATTTGTGGAAAGAAATATCACTTTACCTGATATTACAGAAGTCTAGCTGAGCACAACACATAATGAATATTGACAACAAATTATCATGGAACATAGACCATTTTATTGTACCCATTGTAAGATGTTTGGGCATACCCTTGACAAATGTCACTGGCTCCACCCTAACTTGAAACCTAAAGTTGAACTGCATAAGGATGTGTCTAACCTCACTGCTCTGGACACATCTACTCTAACTGTGGAGGAAATTACCACAAGACAGGAGTCAGTGTCTAGTTTAATTGCCCCGGGGGGACCACTTCACCTATAAAGGATCCTCTTGCTCCTTTTGTTCTTGAAGGGGATTGCTCACTTATTATACCTCATGTAGAACCTCAGTTGGTAGTGGATGAGGAGACATTGCCCCAGGGTGAGTTCTCCATTGAAGATTCACAAATAGATCAGATGGGACAAACACTGGCAGATGAATGTGAAGTTTACAAATCTAGGAAGAAATAAAAAGGGATGCTAGAGCTCAAGAATTTTCGAGATGATGGTTTGATAGTTTCGGGCAGAAGCTTACTTCTCAGTTGGTGTTGGAATCTCTCCCTAGAACCAAGGGGAGGAGAAGTGTTGAATCCACCCACCATGAATAGGAGTATTTCGGGTTTTTTTTTTGTATACGAGTATTTTAAAATCTCTTTTTGAGTGAGTTGTATTCCCTATGAGTGGGCTCTTTGTACCCACTCACTAAAACCTTTGTATCTTCCCTTTTACATCATTGAAGTTGCTTTTTAATATATATACATATATATATATATATATATATATATTTATAATCGCAATTTACTTCATTAATTAATTGCGGTTTATTAAAGTGTATACTTTTTGTGCCTGCTTAACATGCATTATATATTTTTTGTTTTTTCTGAGGTTTACGGTTTAATAAATTCCCTGAGAGTGCCTTTTGAGGTTTTACTGCTGTTAGGTTTTCTAAATCTATATTCAAATATGCTTCAGGTGTGTGTTTGTTGATGCTGGTGTTGCACCTATTGATCTTGAAACTAGAAGGAGAAAAGAAGAAATGAAAGCCAAAGAAGCCCAAAGTAGAGCTTTTGGTGAGCATGGTGAGTTGGCACTCATTACTGTTGAAAGCTCAGAAGTTGCTACTAATGAAAGGGTGTCATTGAGGCCTCCAATGCTTCAGGTAATATTTGCCAGTTATATCAGTAACAAAATTGCTCTTGTTCAATGTTGATTTTACATTATCCTTCGACCGCGTACCTTGTACTTTTCCTATTTTTTGTAGCTAATTGAAATCCTAGAAATTCATATTTTCCTATTATTTGTAGCTGATTGAATCCTAGAAATTCTTATGAATAGTTTGTTTTTGTTTACATGTAGTTGGTTGTTGATTTTATTCCTGTGTTGGATTGGTTTATGGTGTTTTCAACTTTGGAGGATCTTTTTTCTTTTGCGCTACAGTCAAGAAAAAAAGTCTATTTCTTCATGCATGTTAACTGAATAGCTAAATTTTGGTTTTGAAAGGATGATGAGTGGTTGCCCCAACAAAGGTAATGCCAGTATCAGTACAGTTCTCATACTGATGTACATTAATCTTGAGGATTTCTGGTCATTGATGAATGGAGTCAAATAAGCAAATATTTATCTCATAATTGAAATCCATTGTAGCTGGAGACGAGATTCATATGAGGAAACATCAGCAAATGAGCTTTTACTTAGCTTCCAAAGATACAAATACCCAACTTTTTTTTACCCATCAAAGGTTGCATTGTTGTGAGTACAGACTAATGGGTGTTCAGAAATAGCACATTACCCCAATTTTATGTAAAGAAAGAGTCAGTATTATGATTAACCACATTTCTATCTTATATCGTTAAGGAATGAACTCTGATTATCTTAACTCTTTGGTTTGAACTTCTTAGTGATCTTTGATCTTTCTTTTAAGTATAGCAGCGCCAATTTCTCTTACTTGCTTGTTGTTCTTATATCACAGTCATTTTTTTAGATAAGAGGGATATATGTTTTACTTTATATTGCTGAATGAATGTTTATTTTGCTTGTTTGCAGGAGGGAAATTTGTGGTTTTTTTCTTTATTGTTTTTTGTGCCTGGGTTCTAGTTGAAGCTCCTTTCTCTTGTAGTGTTATTCATTGTTGTAATAAAAGAAATAAAATAAATAAATAGATAAATATTTAGTAGTAATAATAATAATTCGAATAGGCTCTAAGATAAGCACATATTCGGTTATGACTTAAGAGTCATATTACACCATTCGAACCATGGAATGTGCGAGCGAGTTGGAGAGGAGAAACTGTCGTAACCGAGGGTGGGAGAGGAGAAAGAAGAAGAAGAAGTCATCATGTGCTTCTGTAGGAGTTTCGACGTTTCCGTGCGTAGGAGGCAACGACGAGCCCTGTCGGATCAGTCGACTCGTGCTTGGGAAGAAAAGGCTGGGGGGAGTTGAAGCTTGTCATGCCTTACCTGTGAAATTTTACTGCGTCGAAACTGAATGAAGAGGAAGATTTGGCGTTGTGCTTGAGTAGAGGTAGAGGAAGAAGAGTGGCGGGAAGAAGCCGCTCCCTAAGAGGAGGTCACACTTGGCACTTTGCTGCCCATAGGGGAAGATTTTAGAGTTGAGTTATTTCGAGATTAAAGGAAGAAGAAGAAGAGCTTTGTGTCATGTTTGTGTGGAGAAGTCGCGACTGAAGGCTGCAGTGAAGAAGCTTTCATTCTGTGGGAAGAGGGAGCTTTGAGCTTGCGTGAGATAGATCAGTCAACTGATTATTTTAAGCTTAAATTTAATCATATTATTTATTAAAATATTCTATTATATATTTGTGTGTGTGTGAGTGTTTTTTTCTTTTATGCATTTAATTAATGTTTTATTAAATGCAAAATTGCTTTATTAAATGGTTTAAAACAAGCATTTAATTCATGCCTAGCATTTTGAAATTCTAAAATTATATAAAAAATGGGAGGAAATTAACAAACATGAATGTCTATTTTAAAGAATTTTAATTTGATATGATATGAACTATAAATTTTAAGTCATATACGATTACCCTCAGATGGTACTACCAGAAGATGCGATGCACCCGTGCACGTTAAAAGAAAGACGTACCTTCGGGTGCAAATCGAGGGTATTCTCAAGTACATTTTCTTAATGGTACCTACAGAATTTTGAGGGTATCTTCGGGTACATTTTTAGGGTACTTTCAGGTATGATGATAATCTTGTTATGACTAATATAAAGGTTAAAATGATTAATATGTTAAGTGAAATGGGAATGAATAAAATTAAAATGAAAGCTGAAGTTTTTATAAAATATTGTTATACATTTTCTTTTAGCAATTTTATATAGCATAAGCATCGTAATTTAATGCATATAAAAATTATAATTACTCACTAAGTCAGACTTAAAGTTGAAATTAATGTTTTCTTTCAGGAGAAGAAAAACTTTAGGTTAATATATCTAGTAGGAGAGATTTGATTTACAAGAGTAGGACTATAGTTGCTAGGTACTAGTTTTGTTTTGTTTGTATCTTCTTTTTACTTTTTCTTCAGATATTGATATACTGTTCAGTACTGGTTTATGATGTAATTTTTAGGTTATGTTAATGTTTCTAAATGTTTATTTTTATTGCATTTTATGGATTTTAGTGACTATTATAAATTGGAATTTTTATAATTATGTGGATAATTTTTTAAATGTTAATATCATCTGACTATTGTTCCTGACTTGGTTAATTCCAAGCTATAAGACTGGTCGTGACAAAAGTGATATTAGAGCAATTAGGTTGTATTATGATCTAAAAGAGTCATTTTTAGGATTAAATTAATTTATAAGTGATATTAGTGAAGGTTCAAATTGTGCCTAATTATTATCTTTCTATCATTATTTCAAAAATATGGAAAATTGGAGGGAAGGAGTAGAGTTGATACTTTAGAAGTTGATACACCCCCACAGATCACTGTAATTATAGATACATTTACTGAGATGATAACTGCAGTAACGCAGTTGATTAAGAACTCTCAGACAGACCAATTCCAGTGGAGGTCAGATGGATAATTCATTGAAATTATTTCAGGATATGAGATCACTTTTTTCTGGAGGAGCTCCGATGGATGCTGAAGAGATGGATACTGAGGGTGGAGAAGATCTTAAATGGATTGTCTTGTCTTTTGGAGAGGATGGTCATTTGCATTAGAGGGAGAACTAGAGAGATGGTGTCGAGGACAGTTACAGGAGAAATATGGGGGTAGAGTCAGTCGGATGATTCGATGGGATGAGTTTGTGGGCACTTTTATAGACTAGTTCATACCACTCTCCGCTAGGAAGCAAGTACAAGACACTTTTATTCGGTTGGTGCAGAGTGATTGACCTATTATGTAGTATGAAGTTAAATTCACCATGCTCTTAAGGTATGCACCTCAGTTGATTCCTAATGCAGAGTAGAAGTGCCACCAATTTTTGTCTAGGCTCAGAGATGGCAGTTGAATCTTCAGGATCAATGCCAAATGCAAGTCAGACTAAGCAAAATATTTAGCCTAGAGTATATGCTCTCTCGCAGTAGGAAGCTAAGGACTACCCTGACTTCATCACAGGTATATTTTACTCTTATTAATTTCAACTCACTGCACTTTAAACATCATAAAATTCATGTCATGTCACATAAAACAAAATAAGAATTTGAATATATTAATAATCCGACGCTAAATATTTAATACAATAATTTTAATGATAGATATCATATATCTTCAAAGTTGACCTATAAGAGTATTGTTTGATTTAAGAGCATCACACTCATTATGAAAGTTCTTGAATTTTTTCATTGTTGGGGTTTAACCTCAATAACTTTCTTCAATACAGATTAATTTGTAAGTTAAATTTGCTACTTTACTAAGTTTATATTACTGCTTATATGTAAAGCAACTTTGCTGTGTGGACTTTCTTTGCGGAATTTAGCCTCATCAAGCTGAATGAGTATTTTGAGACTACTTTTTTCAGTCATTTAGGGAAACATAATCTGCAATGCATTTCAAAGAATTTTTGTTAGATGCATATGTATAGAACTTAGGACTTCTTCGGTTGTACTATTTTTTTCTTCATAATTGAAGCTTGAATCTTGATTTTGTAATTTTAGGCTGTTCGGCTTGCATCCTTTCAACTTGCTCCCTCAATACCTCCATTCATTACATTACCCAAGCAGTCCAAAATGGATGGAGAGGACGCAGTTACTCAAAAAGAGATTGAGGAGAGAAAAGCAAGTGAGGCTGCCGTAGCAGGCGGTGGTGTATCCGTGGCTGTAACTCGTTTCCCTCATGAACAGAAACGTCCTGCTGGACCTCTTGTTATTGTAGGTGTAAGAGATGGAGTTCTTTGGCTTATTGACAGGTACTTCGAAGTTATTCACCATTAATTAGTCTTGTTTTTCTTGTTTAATAGTATTTTCCTCCTCCAGTTAGGTTATGGCTGTTAGAACTGTTCATATTTATCTTTCCCATTCACACATCCTTGTCATGGATCATTTAACTGAAACGGTTGCCTTGTTATTAGGATTAAGATTGCTGGAAATATGGTCTGCTTGCTCAAGGCTTCATCCTCCTAAAGCAGTTAACTGTAATGAAAAAATGCCCAAGTAGGCTTATTTCCCAAGGCCGCATTCTTGGAATAATTATGCTGTTTGGGCTGCTGAAAAAAGAATGCAGTGAAAAATGAATATAATGTAACTGAAATATAGTGTGTTTGAAAAATATAAAGTTGTTTGGTTTGGTATAAAGTAAAACCAATGTACAAGCTCGACAAAATCAATTGCGATAACTAGTGGTTGCGACTCATGCAGCGCGTAACGGGTGGTGGCGGCAAGTGAGTGGCGAAACAATGAGAACATATTGCAATTTGTAATGTATTTGGAAAAATCCAAATCCAATAAAATCAGAATGCACTAGTTTTGAACAGGATGAATTTCAAATTTACCAAAATTTCACATTGCATTATGTTTTTGTCGAGGAGTGGAGCCTGGAAGAGTAGCCACAGCCTCAAGGAAAATGGGCAAGCAACAGGGCACTTTCAGGGGAGCGCACCTAGATAGAGGGAGCAACACATCCGCATTGAGGTTTGAAGTGTCCTCGCGCCGCTGTTAACTGACCTTTCTTTTAAGGTTCGGTTGAAGTACGACAAAAACAGACAATTTGACCAGACTGAGATCTCAATAACACTAATACTAACTTGCAGAATTATGACCTAATGAGTGATTAATTAGTCTAATAAAATTCCGACAAATATACATTATACACTGCATTTTATAATTCATTTATATTTATACTTGGAAATATTGTAAATCATATCATCAAAACATGAAAACTATACATAGCTACTGAATCCAATATAAATAAAACATACACACAAACATCAGAACAAGCTCCCCAAAACTATATAGTGCGAAATTTGTACAAATGACAGCTGGCTACACACCCTAGTGCTCGTTGCCCCTACATAAAAAGCAACAATACAGGAATGAGCTCAGCAAAATAATCAAGGCTAAAATAAGATTTTATGCATGGAAAAGAAACGTGCATGTTCATGTGAAACTTTACAAGTCACAACATGCTGGAGTCATATAGAACATAAAAAAAACAGGTACTGTAGAAATCAAGTCAAGACTGTTGTGAAATTACAAGTATAATAAAAAGCATGTGCATAAGCATGGTCATAAGCTTTTTATCTTATTTAATCATAGTAATATTATTTCATAAATGTTGTTTCATAGTAATGTCACTAATAAATGTATGTCTCAACTATTTCTATTTGTTGTCATATCATGGGTCGTCACTCTGCCCCAAGACCAAATAAACTATCTAAGCACTCTTGTATTTGTATACTCATAATATTTCTTGTGATATTTCTTAAAACATAATACTTGTTAGCATGCATTTATAGATATTTCATATATCACAGACATGAATCATAGCAAATGAATACCTGCTAAACATAGTCATATGTATCATGACATAACAAAATCACATGTATCGTGAGCGAAATCAACTAGCATCCATACATTCCAAGTATGTATTCATCTATAATATACAAGAAGTCTAAATAAAAAATTGTCAAATATATAATCACATAAAACCTAGAGAATATTAATTTTCTTAAATTAGCATAAGTTTATTTCACTTGACTTGATGGAGCAGCCCTCCGATGAGTATTACACACTCGTCTCGAGCTCGCCGCCTTATGGAAACTACCTAGAAATCATAGACATTATAGGAATTTATGAAATTTGGGTTCATATTGTGATTTAACCTAAAAAATAACTTATTCATCCAAAACATACCTCAAATGGCTTTCTCGGCATAAATCCACCCTTCTGATACACATGTTTTCTCCTCAACTCTTCCTAACACCTCAAATATCCCTTTTCCTTCACTGATTTTGTGCCCTTACGGAAGCTTGCAAATCATTTTTGACGCTTCTAACACGAGTTGGTGCCTTTGACGGCTACCAAAAATGAAAAAGTGCACAAAATCGAGGCAAATATTAAAACAGAAATAAGAGAAAGGACATAAAAGTCTCGAATAGCATGAAAGAGAGATTTGTACTCACCGTTTTCGCTTCGGAACATTGAAATGCCAACTGCAACACCTTGTATTGTGCGCGGCTTCCTTGTGTGCTCGTTCATCCCTTGCTACAGTGGCTCGAGCGTAACCCTCACAGTAAGGAAGAATTCGAGAGATGGGGAAATAGACCGTCTCAAAAGCTCTTGGTCGTTCGATCAATCCCACTTTTGATAAACACGAAAGAAGGTTTGTTGGGAACAGTGTACAAGAGACAGATACGGGATTGTGGATAATTGAGGGTTTAACTAAATTAATTAAACTTATAACTTCAAACTTTTGTATTTCACAATCCACTCATAATTTTTCTGTAGTGCTTCATATGGACTTGATCATTTTCATGCGTAAAATTTTATAAAAATAATTTGGTTAAATTCTGAGGGATGCAAAATTTGGGGTACTTTAAAAGTTGTCAAACTTCACCCGACTTATCAAATTTTTTTGGCATCACAGTTGCTATCCCAGCGACTATACACCCGATTATAGAGAGCACGACAATAGCATTGTATGTGCAATTGGCTCTCCAATTCAGTTTAAAGCCTTCGTTCCAAGCGATGAAGTTAATCTCTCTTTTGTGGTTTTTTTGACAAAGGGTTCTCGTGAATCAGAGAAGTGTTAGAGAGGAGGATTTCAATGTGTTTTTCTCTTGTAAGATCAGGAGGAAAGGTTAAAAGCAAAGTCTTGTAAGTTACATTGATTGTAGAGAGGAGATCTAAGTGAATATTCTGTAATTTTCTGAATTTCATAGTAAAAATTTCTTAGCAATGTGGCTCCGTAGTTTTTTTTCATTCTTAGTTTTTCCACGTTAAATCTTAGTGTTTTTTTTGGATTATTTTTATTGTGCTTCCTTTTGAACATTTTTTTCTAATTTTCTCAAATTAGTGTGATCCTATTCTGAGGTATGATTTTGATTTTCAATCGGATTGAAGCCCTAGTAGAAGTATAAGTTTTCCATCATCCCATTAAAGTGGTATCAGAGAAAATGTTTGATTTTAGTGGTAGTAATGGTCGACGAAGCAAGGTACAAAGTGGAGAAGTTTAATGAGACAAATTTCGTGTTCTGGAGGATGCAAGAGCATGATTTACTGTATCAGAAAAAAATTGTACTTGGCAATATAAGGAATCACCAAGAAGCCTGAGTCTATAACTATAGAGGAATGAGAGGTGTTAGATTGAACAACAATACGTTCGATCCATTTATCACTTTCTTTGTCTATTGCATTCGACATAGTAAATGAGAAAATAAAGATAGATCTCATGGCGGCACTGGTAAAGATGTACGTAAAACTTTCTACTTCAAATAAACTTTTTTTTATGAATAGGGTATTCAACATAAAGATGGTGGAAGATAGTTCAATGGCTGAACATTTGAACAATTTCAACACTGTATCAAATTTGTCTTGGAAGGATCAAGTTTGATGATGATGTCAAGGCACTGTTGATATTTTATTCATTATTCGAACAATTGGATAATTTGGTCATGGTGGTGAGTAAATCTTCTGGGAATATAAAGTTGAACTTCAATGACATCGTGGGTTTAGTGTTGAATGAGAAACTCGCATAAAGTCAGCGAATGATGAATCTTCAAGTGCTATGTTGAATGTGAAAAACAGAGGAAAGGAATCTGGACATGGATACAGACAAAAGTCATTCAAATCCATGAAAGTAAAGTCTCGATCAAGCAGAGGAAATGACAGAGAAGAATGTTGAAACTGCGAAATGAACAGACATTTCAAGGACTGCAAAGCTCCACAAAAAGCTGGTGGTAGAAGGCAGGAAGGAAATCTCTATAACTACCTTCACAGTTGAATTCAATGTGACTCTCTGGTGTTATTCTTAGTCAGCACTGAATTTCGGATAGTTTATTTAAGTGTCTCTTTTCACACATGCCCAGAATAAAAGGCATTCAAAACACTCTGAGTGATCTAGGAAGGGTTTATCTGGGAGACAATAAGGCCTGTAATATAATGGAAAGAGTGATGTAGATATCAAGTTGTGAAATGAAATAGTCTGGACGCTTACTAAAATTAATCATGTTTTAAATATGAAAAGAAATCCTAATTCTATGAGTCATCTAACAAAATCAGAGTTCATGACTACTTTCACAGGTGATTCGTGAAAAGTGATCAAGGGGCAATGGAGTTGGCTCGGGACAACATTGAAGGCACTCTTTACTTGATCAATGAAATGCCATATTTCATTGATGTGGCTGGAGCCAATGTGGATGCAAGTTTGTGGTACAGTTGGTTTTGTCATATGAGAGAGAAATGTATGAATTTCCGATTTTTTACAGAATAAACTTCGAGGTTTGAAATCAGTATATTTGGATTCTGTGAAGATTGTATATATGGCAAGCGAAAGAAGGTTTTTTTCTGTAAAAGTGGGTTAGTGGTGAAGTAAAAAAAATTGTAGTGTATATTGATGCATGGGGCCTACTCCAATTCAATTCATTGGATGTTACCGCTACTTTGTCATGTTTATTGACGATTAAACCAGAAAGATATGTGTTTATTTCTTAAAACAAAAAGTTGGCGTACTTGAAGTGTTTAAGAATTGGAAGGGTATGATTGAAATGAAAGGACTTGAAATTGAAGTATCTCATATCAGATAGTGGGGTCGAGTGTCGTGATTAGAAGTACAGGAATATACCACAGCAGATAGTGTGGTGAGCACATGAATAGAATAATCATGTAGCGTGCCAGAAGCATGAGGCTGCCTGCAGGCTTGACAAGACAGTTTTGGGCTGGAGCTGTGAATATTGATATTTATCTGATTAAT